CGACCGAATGTAAGGGCCTGATGGACAACTTTGCATCAACAATCAATCCGTCAAGCTGCGCGGACGCTGTGACTGAAGTACTTCGACAGGGTATGGAATACTTCATCCCGTTTTCCGACGTACCGATGTCCAACAAAGCTCAACCTTGGTTCGGGGCTGAATGTAGATACGCTGAAGCGTTGAAACAAGAGGCGTACCTGGCCTGGGTTGATGCTCGACACCGCAAGGCAAATGACATACGTGAGAGGAAACGAAAATTTTATAGCGCTGCCAAGTCCTGCAAGAAGGTGTTACAGAGGGCTCGCTTCGACTATATCAGCCGAATAGGGGCCAAACTGGCTTCGTATCCTTTGGGGAGTAAAGCGTTCTGGTCCCTAGCTAAATCGGTTGAGGCAAACTTCTGCCGTCCCTCACTGCCGCCGCTGCAGAAACCTAATGGTACACTGGCCCACACCGCTGAAGAGAAAGCAAACTTGTTTACATCTCTGTTTGCAGAAAATTCCCGTCTTGATGCTGGTGGCGCTGAACCTCCATCACAACCACCAGCCGGCCCGACAAAAATGTCGGAAACTAGAATTCACCAGACGGAGGTTAGGAGAACGCTGCGTAATCTTGATGTGAATAAAGCCGGTGGACCCGATGGTATCCCAGCCATAGTCTTAAAGACCTGTGCACCTGAGTTGTCTCCCGTCCTGACACGCCTGTTTAGACTATCTCTAGTAACTGGAATTGTGCCGAAATCGTGGAAGCTTGCTAACGTGCAGCCCATGCCCAAAAAGGGCAGTCGTGCTGACCCTGCCAACTACAGGCCCATATCTGTCACCTCCATACTCTGCAAGAGCATGGAGCGTGTCCTAAACGGCAGGCTCTTGGCGTACCTAGAATCCAATGATCTCCTTAGTGACCGTCAATACGGATTTCGTCAAAATCGGTCCACGGGAGATCTTCTAGTGTACGCCACACATATCTGTAGTGAGGCCATCGAGAATTACGGGGAAGCACTAGCTGTTTCCCTGGACATCTCTAAGGCATTCGACAGTGTTTGGCATAACGGCCTTATTAGCAAGCTTCCATCGTTTGGACTGCCACCTAGTTTATGTGACTGGATATCTTGAGGGGCAGATCCCTGCGAGTGGTCGTTGACGGCTTCTCGTCGGACCAAATGGCCATTAATGCCGGTGTTCTTCAGGGATCCGTGCTCTCTGCAACTTTATTTTTGCTGCATATAAACGATCTGTTGAAACCCGGTATCTTTGGGTATGCAGACGACAGCACAGTCATGGAGAGGTACATGTCCAGTCCGAGAGTGAGCCCGGCTGAAATCCAGTCTTGCAGAGAAGAAATGGTTGAGGGTCTGAACCTTTCCCTCCAGGCAGTGTCCGATTGGGGCGATGCCAATCTGGTAAGTTTCAACGCCACCAAGACACAGGCGTGTCTTTTGTCCTCCAAAAGGAGGCCGTTTGAGCTGGCCCACGCATTCCGGGATGTAACCGTACCGGTCACGGACCACCTTGACCTTCTTGGTGTGACTTTATCTTCAACGCTCAATTTTGGCTCATACATTGAGTCTAAAGCTCAGCTAGCAGCGAAGAAGCTCGGTATACTCTCGAAGGTGCGAAGGTAATTCACGCCGGAACAACTGCTTATACTATATCAAGCGCAAGTGCGGTCCTGCATGAAGTACTGCTCGCACCTTTGGGATGGTTCTGCCAAATACCAGCTTGAAGCGTTGGAGACCATCGAGAGGCGCGCCAAGAGGCTCATTGGAAGCGACGCTCTTTGGAAAAAGAGAGTACTAAGTCTTGAGCATCGCCGCAAAGTCGCTGGTCTATCGGTCTTCTATCGGTTACATTTCGGCGAGTGTGCATCGGAATTACACGACTTAATTCCATCATACCCTTTTTATTATCGTACAACCAGGGGTACTGGGAAGCGTCACCGCTTTACTGTGGAGATTCCACAAACTCGCACCAAACGAGTCGCCTCTACATTCATCGTGCGAACTGCGAAGCTGTGGAATTCGCTACCGTACTCGCTGTTTCCGGGAAAATACAATCTGGGACTCTTCAAGTCAAGAGTGAATCGGTTCCTTCTAGGCAAGCACGCTCCATCTTAGACCACTGCATTGCTTACCATCAGGTGATCTGTGGTCAAGTGCTTGCCTATCTAGAATAAAAAATAAAAAAAGAAAAAAAAGATCTATTAAAGATGTTCAATTCCACCATACAAACTCAAAAGTTTTTGGCAGCGTTTGCGAGCAAAAGCTTCCAACCAGCTTTATGTTTTCCGACATAATGAACTAATATCGTTGTATTATCGTCAGTTTGTACAAAACCTAAACTTACTATACACTAAAACCTTCCTCAAGAATTGCTTTATCTATTGTTGAAAACTGGATGAAAATCCGTCCAGTACTTTTCGAGTTTATCACGAACAGACAGAAGCGGCGGAGGACTTAGTTTTTTAATATGTAGTGATGATTCTCGTACCAAAGTTAAATCAAAATAACACTTCACACTACACACTACATATTAAAAAGTTTCAAAATACACTTATAATCGACTCGATTCTCCTTCATACTATGTTCAGGCTCAGGACTGACAATTTACAATACAAAAACAACTATTTTCGTAATGTTCTATTAGTTTGTTCTATACACATGCAATTTACTAATTTACTTATTTGACAAAATACATTTTTGCATTCTAAACCTCGATAATAACAAAAATATATGATTCCAAACCAAAAGACAAGTAAAAGTAGTAAATAAACAAATATAGCCGCTGGCTGACCGACAAGTGCGCTCATTTGTTACCGACACGCGACTCGATGTCGCGCGAATCTTTCCGAATAGTCGCTCAGTTTTGCATAGTTCATTATTTTGTTCAATCATGTCAGTGAGCGCCACTGATCCATTCGGTGCAAACTTTGAGATTCGGATCAGTGCATCACTGAGTCGATTCAGTAAAGATTTACACGCGTCTAATTCAAATGTGTTCAAGAAACTACTAAGTATAGGTTATAAAAAAAATACTTTTTTTAAAGAGATCTTAGTTCTTAAGTTATAGAAGTTAAAGTTCTAAGTTGATTGCATTTTTTTTTCATTTGGTAGTAACCTGACGTGTTACTATGACTGTGCATTAGATATATAATAAGTTTAAAACGTTTTCGAAGACAATTAATAGAATGACATAAAGACATCAATGTTTGAAAAGACTAAAAAAGAAATTTAAATAGCTATAAGAATGTAAATAAATTAATAAAAAGTTTTAAAAATTCCGGTTACCTATAATGTTATTAACATCCCATCATTAACATAACATGGATATAAATGCACAAGACTCGAAGCACAATTTTTCTGCCGTAATAAGTTATAAAACAAAGGTAACCCAAGTCGATTAATTCATTACCTTTATTCCCGTGGGAGCAGCTATCCAAACTTGTCGAAGATATAGGAATACTTTAAAAAGCCCATTTGATGGCGTTTGTTGACCATACGTTGGTCCACTCTCCGAGGTAAAAAGTAAATAGCTCTTCCGACGTTTTTCCTAGAGCAATCGTTTAATATATATATGTATATATATTTACTCTTTGGTAAATAGTGCGTATTTTCTGTTCTGTGATTGCTAAGCAAAATTTTTACACAAATTTTGACGGATGTTTCCAAACTGCTATACGGTTATAAAAATCAGAAAAACTAAAATATGAGCCTAATATTTCATAATGTAAATTTTTTCCTTACTTCATATAGTAAATAATGTTCAAAATTTGGAGATTGTGGGTCTGCTAGACGTACCATAGAATTTTATTTCATAGAATTTTAATGATATAAGATTTATTTATTTATTTAATCTTTATTGCATGGAATAGCAGACTTAGACGGCGGACTTAATGCCAAGGGCATTCTCTACCAGTCTACCAGACAGAAAGAAGAAGGAAGATGTGTCAGTGACAAAATTAAGTTATTACAAATTGCAATAATTCTTAAAGTACTTGTTCAAATTAGATTTAATTCGGAAATGTGCCTCATAATATTATTCCACAAACAAGTTACAGAGGTTAAAAATGGCTCAAATTGACTTCGAGAAAATGATGATACGGTTGTGACCTTTTTACTTTTTTTTTGCTCAATATGGCGGGGCACTTCCGTGCCCTCAGATATATCAATAATAGAATTGCCTATAAATAAATTTAAATCGAAAAGTCGATATCTCTATAAATGGTTTCATTTAAGTTTTCTCTTTATTCAAATCTCTTTGTCAGTTATTCTTAGACATTCATAATTAAAATAGGATTAAACACAAACGAAGCTTTTCACAGAGATATGAATCATTCATTACAATGCGGTATTATTTATTTTGAAGCCCAATTTATCAAACCAAACCCATTTATGTCAACTAGATATCCTTTGATATCATTATTATGTAGATTAAACACCTCCGTTATTTATTCAAAGCCGATCCATCGGAATAGGATTAATTTCAATTCACATATAACGCGCTATAACATTTGAAAAGGATATTTAATTAACACGAACGACTGAAGCCTTCTGTTCAACAACGTGGTCGATTAAACACAGAATCGATTAGTTGAACGTTACCATTTTAAAGAGAATATCCGATATTGGATCTTTATTGTTGGAACGGAAGAAAAAGGAAGAATAGATGACCAATGAGCCAAATGACTTATAGGACGTTTTTGTAATTGATTGTGATTGTGATCGCTGAGTAAATGTTTTCTAAGTCAAAAGATCTGATGTCTTCATAAAGAGCTACAGGATATACTCAAATGTACTTTCAACCAATCGTAATCGTATTCGTAGAGATTGTTGTTTTTCATTTTTATAGAGAGCGAAGGGAACAACCTCTTACAGCCTTAGATGCTTAGAATGTTTCACAAAGACGATTATTTTCATGCATTTAATGAGCAACAGGTATATTTATGCCCAAATTAATATTCTAAGCAATAAATAACATAAAGCAAAGAAGAGGTGAGTTTACCTGTACTCGCTGACAGCGGATGAGGCTTTGAGTGTGCGTCAGTATCCTTAGCACCATGTGCTCTATTGTACTCTGCTCCTCAAACACCATCCTCGCCAGGTCCAGCAACACCTGGTTCCTTTTGACTTCAAGCTGCGAGCGCTCGTAAAGCTGCGCGTTCCGCAATCCGATCCCGCAGAACTGAAGATAGGAGGCGAAAACTTTTTCGTCGTTCGCGGTGAAAGGCCCATCGTTTTGCTTGTTTATCACCTGGAATTGAGAACTGGTGTGGTTACGGTAATAATTGTATAAGTATTTTTTGTGTAATTAAAAAGTTTATATGTAGCTTTATATTTATAACGGCCAGTCACAAACGTCCAATGAGGTTTATTGACCAACTTAAGCTCTAATGTATGTCCTAAATTTTAAATTTTATATTGTTAATGTAATGCTCTACTCTAAACTAATGGACGTTTGTTCAACTAAGGGTAAATGTAGTCGCTATGGTAACAATATATCATATATGTATTTGTTGATTTTGATCAAAGATAAAAACTGAAAATCTCTTAAGATATTTACTAAATATATTATATTTTAAAATACGCCTAAGTTATATTTAGTTTAATTTGACGTACTAAGTTTGCGATTTAGATGGCCCACTGTACTCTAAAATAGAATATTTGACTCTATATTAAGGAGACATAATAAAGGCATGACACTAATAGAAGTCACTAAGATATCACTTGTCACACTATATTTATTACACTAGTGCCAGTCACGCATCTATGTACATGTAATGTATACGTATTATCGTGTCTACAAAGTAGCCAAATATAACTGTATAACTTTTTTAATGTTAAAATGATATTCTTTTTCCTACGACTCCGAAATCTTTCTTAATTCATCTGTTTCAAAATAAGATATTTGTATTTCACTTCTTCTAATAAAATTAGGCAACCCTAGTTGCGTTAGATAACTAAAAATATTTCCGCGTTGTCGAACTCTTCAAGCAACACGCCGTGATTGGAAAAGTTTCCTGTAAACCATCGATGCTGTGGAAAAATCTATCCAGTGGGGGATTGAATAACGCAGTATTGTTATTACATGAGCGACGGTATGGGGTTTACATATACTGATCTGGTTTACTGTAAATAATCTCCAATAAAATGCTAAAAAACGAAATGTATAAAGTTTATGTTACCTAATGTAAAAGCTGAACTAACAGAAATTAAAGTTAATGATGAAAAGCTCGAGTTTGTTGATTCAACAATCTTCTTGGGTGTAACGCTGGACTCTAAATTGCAATGGCATCCTCACATTTCATTATTGGCATAAAAACTAAGTTCAGCTGTCTTTCCAATAAAAAAAAATAGGCAACTCACAGATGTAGATACCGCTAGGACAGTATAATTTAGTTATTTCCATAGCTTTATGTCTTATGGCATTCTGATTTGGGGTATTATTGCAGATATAGAGTCACTTAGAGATGAATTCGGAGAAGTTGGGATATTAACAGTGGCCTCTCAGTTTATATACAATTGCATACTTTATGTTAGAAAAAATATTAATAATTACATTAAACATAGATTAATTTATTTTAATTAATCTATGTTTAATAATTTTAATACATGAAATAATTTTAATTTTAATTTTGATTTTATACCTCCATTTATTACAAGCAACTAAAATTACCATCATAGCCATTAGTTGATATTTATAAAATAAATATCAATTTTACATGCTTCTATCGATAGTATAGGACATGTACTATAAAATATTGTCAAGTACCTACACATAATCGGAGACTTATATTAGACTAACAAAGAAAAGTTCTCTTTCTTACTAAATGAAATAGATTCCGAATGAAATGTATTCAAAAAGTTCACAAATAACATTTAATGGTTTAGGAGACTTTCTTAAAAAGAACGGACAACTTTTTTTTAAGAAAACGGACTTTCTTAAAAAGAATTTTCATAGACAACATATTATATTACTGTTTACGGTTGACATATCGATTCACATTCTCAAGAAAGTACAGCCATCGGACAGATGGTATGAATAAGGTTGAATTCCTTTCTATCCTTTTTATTCATCAAGTTTTTCTATCGAATTCTTTATTCCCATTCCTTTTACGAACGTGACAGGGAAAAAATAATAAATCAATTCAGTCAAAGAACGATTCTACGTGGGGAAGGTATGTATTTCTTTTCCAATTTTAAGAATAATGTATGCACATACAATTGGGTGCGGAAAAGTTAAGAATGGGTTCTTAAAAAAATCACCAAAATCAAATTTACTAACAATAAATGTGAACAAACGCGTCTTCCTAAACCCGCCATCCGAGTTATTTAATCATCGAAAATGCATTTATAAACTTTTTTGAAATAAATTAAAAATTGTAACCCATTTTTTTAAATTATTAAAACAAAAAATATTTACGCTATATTTATAAAACAAAAACCTTTTTTATTAAGCATTAATGAAATGCAGTTTATGTAAAATCTTGCATTAAGCTTAGTGATAATGCTTTGTTTACATATTTGATCTCTCTCGAATTTCATTATACAATCAGACTATATAGAAGCCTTATTACTATTAAGTGACAATTTTCATAAAATCATTTTGATATAATATCCAGTATATTCATAATTTTGACATGACAAGGGTAGCGGTGACTTTCAGATTATATCCAAACTTATTTCTTTCAACCTTAGGACATCGATCAAAAATGATAAGTGTTGAAAAGCATCGACAATGATGTCCCGAGACTTTCATATCTGCTCTATATCGAATATTATATGAAACTGTGAATGTGACACACACATACATGTTACATTCACGTAAGAATTTAGTTTTTATATGTTGATCATGTATTCATGCAATTTAGTCATAATAAGTTAATTGAGATTGACAAAATAGTACAATATACTCAAACGCCGTTATTAAATTAAATTTTCAGAGCAGAATCTAAAGTAAAATTTTGCAGTGTCAAAATTTGCACCTGAGGACGCCAAAATATCATAAACCAATATAATATAGTCAAAAAATTCTAGTTTTATCAAACTGCTATCAACTGGTCATTAAAAAATCTAAAATCGAAACGAAACGAAAATCTGTGTAAGTAACGTATAAGTACAGTTTGAGACGTGCTTAACTTAAAATTCTCAATTCAGAAAACGGGTGATATTGTCACAGTATAAATCTATGACACAACTGTCTTTTCTAATAAGTAATTTATAACTACAGTTACATACTGCTCTGCTCACTTCACTCCAATGCGACTTTTATTCCGAATCTTGAAAAATAAAAACTGAAGGTAAACGTATTAATGCTTATATAAAATTTATTAGTAGGTATTTTTACTAGTTTCAATAAAGCCACCATTTTTAATGTTTTATTAAAATTTAAACTGGAGTTAATTCATAAATTTTTAGAAAGGCCATCTAAATAACTGTTTCGTGTATTTGATAGCTAAAATTCATCGTTGCACGTTTATTAATTACACGTTCATTTAACGTTTTGTTTGTGTATACATACATCAGTTTTTAAGCAATAAAGAAAACAGAACGCTTCTCAATGAGTCAACTTTAGACTAAATAACTTTTGTAAGTACGGTTTGCTTTAATGAACTTAAATCATTTGATAATATATCTTTTAAAAGTCGTATAAAAACCGAAACGGCCGATTCATTCTATACATTCAAACAATTAAGAATACAAATTTTCATAAGATTACATATTGTTACGAAGAATAAAAATGTTAATTACCTGTGCGACGCCGATGACCTCTCCGTTGATGTCCTTAATTGGCATGCAGAGGAGCGACCTCGTTTTGTAACCCGTTTGTTGGTCAATGTCGTGGTTGAACCGCTCATCCTGTAACAACAAACGACGACAGTTCATATGACGTAGTAGTCTGTGGTAGTGTCATAGTAAAACCAAAGAGTAACTTGACTTCATACATACGCACCGAAAATTGTTTTATGTGATCGCGCCCATGCGTATGCGTGCGACAAAGCATACGCATGGGAGCGCTTACACAAAATTTATCGATGCCAAAGGTGCTCAAGGTGCTCAAGGTACAAGTGGCAACTCGCCAGTCGTAACTATGGTTTTCACGCCCATACTCTGCGCAACTCGACTATGCATTTCTGACTATTGAATAACCTATAAGCGAAAGCCCCACGTGTTTAGACGTACTTTTTTGGTTTTACTATGTTAGTATCCTAGCTGGCAGGTATGTTAATGACACACGCAATGTGTGTAATACAGTAGTAACAAATTTTATTGGTAGCTACTAACCGTTTTGAATGACAATTAAGCCCGATAAGGTACGTTTTATTGGCGCAGACAATATTAAGATCAAATTACAAAACCATTAACGCCGACACGATATAAAATCTTATTAGGAAATTTTAATGCTGCCGACATTAGCCTCGATGGAATAAATACACTGAAACGCCTGAGATAAAATAATTTCAATCACGATTAATTCTATTAATAAATAAAATAAATTAAAATAGGAACATTATTGTTGCCACTATAAATCGATCACCTATCTAGTTTTAACTACAAAACAAATTTTTATTTTTGTTTTAATACTTATCGATTTATTTAATTAATGATTTTGATTCTCATTGTTTTTGGAATTATATAAGTGTGACTAAGTTCAAAAACAAACGAATCTTAACAAACAAAACTAGGTAATTAAAAAACTGAAATAAACGAAATTATTTGATTTAAATTATAATTCACATCAATTCATAGAAAACAAAGCCGCTTTCCGTCTGTCTGTGTGCTTGGATTATAACTACGCAACGGACTTTAATGTGGTTTTTTTTAATTATATAGAAAATGAAGGTTTGAATGTATCTACAGAAGACCACGCGGGCAAAACCGGTGGAAAGCTAGTGTTATAAAAGATTATCAACATATTCATTGATAAAATCAGTAATACATCTTGATAGCTATAACTAGAATATTAGCGAGAGAATTAATCGATCGTAATACTTATCAGTACTAAGTATAATAATTTCATGCCAATGTTTTTCCGCATCACCTCGCCTAATGGTTCGCTGACTTAAAATAAAGTATTACTACGTTATCAAGTAATAAATGAAGTAATATATAATAGGCATTGAACTAAGAATGTAATAAGATATGTGGGGGGCTGACCGCAGACCGCAAGTGTCCTTGCCTTTGAAGACATGTCAATATGTATGTACCGATTGGTCGTAGAAATGATCACCGATCCGTTAGTTTAAAACTATTAAAAGCATCAATTTTTATTATTATCAGAATTATCTAACTTCCGCTACGAAACAACTGGTCCCAATTTTCTTTTTTAACCCTCCACGCTGGCCCAATACGGATTGGAGGGTATCAATGATTACTTTTTTGTTGGTGGGTAGGTCATTGTGGTATTGCGCTGTAGTACCTACATTTGTAGTTACAGGCTAAGCCGTAAGTTTGGAAATTGTTTGTGGATTTGTAAGAAGTCCACACCGTTACCCAGCAATTAGTATAACTGTGTCCATCATAAACAATGTTTTAGTACATAAAAGTAAAATTCCATTTTTCTCTTTATGATTATAAATGCATTTTATAATTGGTGTGTATAAGGATGTGCGTTTTTTCTATTATATATTGTATAATCTTATGAAGATTACTTTCAGCGTCAACAATGGCGTTTGTGTTGGTATTAAATTTCTCTGTAAATATTCATTATTCATACAAAAAAAAAATGTTTAGAAACGAATCGGAAACGTCCTCCATATCTTATTTTAAAGTTGGTTAAAAACAAAACTATTAATTCATTTGCCTATTGTCGCTCTCGTAAAAATTAATTAGCCGAGACAAGTTACAAAACAAGGGTAGGATATGAACCGGCTATTTGATATGAGGTATATGTGCCAGGGACGCGTCCCAAAAATTAATATGTAGTTGTTAAATCAATGAGTCCACTACACATCGTCGCACACAGCATTTGTAGAGCATGTCGCTACAGATTTTTGCACCACTTCGCTTGTTCCCTGGTGAAAATACTGTCATTTCGGATACACTATGAAGTGGAAACATAACATTATTAATGTTTTTATAACTTTTCCATTTATAACAATAACAACTTCGAATAAAGAAAGAAAGAAAATACATTTATTGACCACATAGGTTGATACAATAATGATTTAGCTTAAAGATAAAAACATTTATTAAAAGTGGCGGCCAATCAGGACTCTGCCTCAGCATAATCCATACCAGTGTAGATTACCCTGATACGAAGCTGGTTATTCTGGCAGAGCCTGTGTAGACGGAATAAGACGGTTCCTTGTTATTTGTCACATCCATTTTAATGACCTTAGATACCATAACATTCATTTTATTAGATTTGTAATGTGTTAATATCAATTATGCTTTAGTGTTTTTATATCATCAGCATCATCGTCGGCCCTTTTACGTCCCCAATGCAGGGACTCAGGCCTTTCTTATGGATGGATAACGAGGGTGGGATATTACGCTAGCCACAAATGCAGCCAGGATCGACGGCTTAACGTGCCTTCTGATGCACGGAGTAGCTCGAGATAATCATTTTTCGGTCACCCATCCCGTGACCGACCCTTGCGATAGTTGCTTAACAACAACGAATGCGGGTCGCGGCGCTTATCCTCAGTATGTTATTTAATATATTTAATCATAATAATTGAGCTTAAACTAATCATAAAACCGATTATAACCATTAACTTATGTTGTTAAAACGGTTCATTCTGTAAATGCAACCAATGCGAGTAATAGGTCCCACGATTAATATTGTTATTGCAAATGCAATAGCCGCAACGTACTCGCACGACTGGAAGTTTTACTCAAAAGTTAGATTAACTTTGCACTGTACAATAAGTGTTACTCAACTTTTAAAACAAACTGTTGTGTTTATTAAAACTCTTTTATATACAATTGGTAAGTTATGTAGCGTCAATATTTCGTAAACAAAATAAACTACTTCAAAACTTTTTAACATTTAAAACTCATGTTACATTAGGGGGCGTCCATAAATTACGTGAGGTGTTTTTTCAAATTTTCTGACCCTCCCTCCCCCCCTGGTGAGATGTCGTGAGATTTTATTCAAATCCCCTCCCCCATCCTCAAATCTCACGTGAGATTTTTTAAAAAGTGGGTTTCTTATTTAAACACGTTGGATTTTTTAATAAAAAGAAAAAAAAATTCGCTTCGTACTTTTATTTACGACTAGTTAGTACTTTTATTTGAGATTAGTAATCCATATTGCTCTCATTCATCGAGTCACACGTTCAGCTGACAGTGGCGCGAAAACAAAGGACGGGCTACATTGTACCGTAAATTCAAATTAAATTGAGCTATTTGGTATAAAACGAGTATAGTGGTTTGACAATCAGGAGTGATGTATAATATCAAAGTACGAATGAAATTATTTTCTTTCCAACGAATTAGTGAATGATCTTAACCTTAAACTTGTCACTCTATGAGGGATTCCCCGCACCGAGCCTTATTTTAAAAATTGCGTGATATTTGCCGAGACCCCCCCTCTCTCCAACGTGAGATTAGATGAGATTTGACTCGACTCCCTCCCCCCCTTAAACATCTCACGTAATTTATGGACGCCCCCTTACCACCTACTAGGTATGATTATTATCATTCTTATTAACTATAAACATGTATCATTATTTAACTACGAATGAATATTCCATTTAGTGAAGAAAAAGCTACACTCGAACATATGGATGTGAGCCAAGATGGATTCCAAGGGGGTAAGATTCATTACGTTCTACCGACATCTCGATGAATTATCTTTCTACCAAAAAGTAAAACACAACAGCGAAATATATTTCAAAACAACGTCTTAAATTCTTAATATTGATCATAACCTATGTAGCCTTCCGTGGGTATAAGAATTTTCGAAATCAATCCAGTAGTTTAAGAGCCTATTCAATGCAAAAAAACAATCAGATATTTTGTTTTTATATTATTAGTATAGATATTAGATAGGGGTACGTACGTTCTTGTAAATTATGTAAAAAATTGTCGAAAAAACCTGTCGAAAAAATTTCAATATATCAATTCGACGAGTTAGATTTAGAAACATCAAATAAAGATTAATAAAATATAAAATCATTGAACTTGTAACAAATGCTCATAAGAATTCGGAAGACAAAATTCCATCAGAACTTCAATAAGTCTCATTATTTTTAAGATCGTTCAACCGAGACGAGTAATTCGTGTGTCAAGTCCAGTGCCTGTAATAACTAAAGTTAAGTTTGAAATATATTTATTTTGAACTGACATAAAAGTTCAGTAAATCGCTTTTCAGCTTCACATTGAAATCGTTATGCGAAAACTAAGTTGAGCAAACCCGCAAGTATATTATTTTATGTATCTTTGCGAGAATTAAAATACCAACGGAATAAGTTTTGCCGATATCAAAGTTTCAGGAATTAAATTGGGAATCGGGAAATGAGATGTGCACCGATTCTATACAAGCTCCGTTTACGACTGTTGAATGTCGTTCGATATCGAAAAAAGTTTGCGGTACAATTGAGATGGAACTGTTTGATGGTGACGAACAAAGAACGTCAAAACTAATGTCAATCTACTATGCAAAATATTTTATTTCATTGACAATGGTCAGCACCTGAGTTGTAATAAAGTTTTGCTTTATCATAATAATAATGGCAATCACAAGAATATAAGACAAAATATCGAATCAAAAAAAGATTTTTTATTTGCTACCAACAACAATAACCACAAGATATACCTGACATCTTGTCTTTTTGATTTTTAAATCAGAAAAAGGCTTCTTATCAGATTTAGTTCGACAAAATTATATTTTTATAAATAAGAGTGCATGA